TTTTCTTCTTATTCCTGAAAATTTTTCAAAATTATCCCTTTGCCAGTTTTCTAGAAAATTTTTCGTGGAGTGATTTTTCACTGGAAAATTTTGGAATTTTCCTATAATGAGCTCCTCACTTTCCTTTTTTTTGGGAAAATTTCACAATTTTTGCTTTGCCAGTTTTGCAGAAAAAAAATTAAATGTGAAAGACTGAATTTTCCTTAAAAAAGTCAATTTTCCGGAACTTTCCTCTTGATTTTCTTTGGAGTGATTTTTTACTAGAAAATTTTGAAATTTTCCTATAATGAGCTCCTCATTTTTTTCTTTCTCCTGGAAAAATTTCACAAGTTTTGCTTTATTAGTTTTCCAGAAATAAATTGAAATGTGTGAGGATGAATTTTTCTGAATTTTACTTGAAAAACTCATTTTTTCAGAATTTTTCCTGAAGCGATTTAGCATTGGAAAATTTTGAAATTTTCTTATAATGAGCTCCTGACTTTCCTTTTTTTCCTCTCTTGCCAGTTTTCCAGAATAAAATTGAAATATGAGAGGATGAATTTTCTTTAATTTTACTTGAAAAAGTCAATTTTCCAGAATTTTTCCTGGAGTGATTTTTCACTGGAAAATTTAGAAATTTTCGTAAAATGAGCTCCTCATTTTCTTCTTATTCCTGAAAAATTTTCAAAATTATCCCGTTGCCAGTTTTCTAGAAAATTTTTCGTGGAGTGATTTTTCACTGGAAAATTTTGGAATTTTCCTATAATGAGCTCCTCACTTTCCTTTTTTTTGGGAAAATTTCACAATTTTGGCTTTGCCAGTTTTGCAGAAAAAAATTTAAATGTGAAAGACTGAATTTTGCTTAAAAAAGTCAATTTTCCGGAACTTTCCTCTTGATTTTCTTTGGAGTGATTTTTTACTAGAAAATTTTGAAATTTTCCTATAATGAGCTCCTCATTTTCTTCTTTCTCCTGGAAAAATTTCACAAGTTTTGCTTTATTAGTTTTCCAGAAATAAATTGAAATGTGTGAGGATGAATTTTTCTGAATTTTACTTGAAAAACTCATGTTTTCAGAATTTTTCCTGAAGCGATTTAGCATTGGAAAATTTTGAAATTTTCTTATAATGAGCTCCTGACTTTCCTTTTTTTCCTCTTTTGCCAGTTTTCCAGAAAAAAATTGAAATATGAGAGGATGAATTTTCTTTAATTTTACTTGAAAAAGTCAATTTTCCAGAATTTTCCCTGGAGTGATTTCTCACTGGAAAATTTCGAAATTTCCCAATAATGAGCTCCTCACTTTCCTCTTTTTCCTGGAAAATTTTCAAAATTTTCCGTCTGCCAGTTTTTCAGAAAAAAATTAAAATCTAAGAGGGTGAATTTTCCTTAATTTTGCTTAAATAAGTCAATTTTCCAGAATTTTTTATGGAGTGATTTTTCATTGGAAAATTTTAAAATTTTGCTATAATGAGCTCTATACTTTCTTCTTTTTTCTGGAAAAATTTCACAATTTTCCCTTTAACAGATTTCTAGAAAAAAATTAAAATGTATAATAGGGTGAATTCTACTTAATTTTGCTTAAAAAAGTTAGTCTTTCAAAATTTTTCCTGGAGTGATTTTTCACTGGAAAATTTTGAAATTTTCGTAAAATGAGCTCCCAATTTTCTTCTTATTCCTGAAAATTTTTCAAAATTATCCCGTTGCCAGTTTTCTAGAAAATTTTTCGTGGAGTGATTTTTTACTGGAAAATTTTGGAATTTTCCTATAATGAGCTCCTCACTTTCCTTTTTTTTGGGAAAATTTCACAATTTTTGCTTTGCCAGTTTTGCAGAAAAAAATTTAAATGTGAAAGACTGAATTTTGCTTAAAAAAGTCAATTTTCCGGAACTTTCCTCTTGATTTTCTTTGGAGTGATTTTTTACTAGAAAATTTTGAAATTTTCCTATAATGAGCTCCTCATTTTCTTCTTTCTCCTGGAAAAATTTCACAAGTTTTGCTTTATTAGTTTTCCAGAAATAAATTGAAATGTGTGAGGATGAATTTTTCTGAATTTTACTTGAAAAACTCATTTTTTCAGAATTTTTCCTGAAGCGATTTACCATTGGAAAATTTTGAAATTTTCTTAGAATGAGCTCCTGACTTTCCTTTTTTTCCTCTTTTGCCAGTTTTCCAGAAAAAAATTGAAATATGAGAGGATTAATTTTCTTTAATTTTACTCGAAAAAGTCAATTTTCCAGAATTTATCGGAATTTGCTCGATATCTCGAAATCGGAGGGATATCGAAAAAAATCGAGTCCGCCACTGGATTGTGCTCAAAAAAGTGTCTCCATAATGTTTTTACAGAAATGAAAAAAATTGATAAATAAAAAACTTATAGCCATTTTTCATAATAGGGGAAAATCGAAAATCGCCTTGTATTAATGGTATCATTGAAGATATCGCGATACGGTTTTTGACAATCGACGTTTCTCGAAAATCGATCCCATGACATCTAAGTCAATTTTCCGCTATCTGGTCTGGAAGTACGTTTTTCCTGTTGAAACACTCCAAATTGCAGCACCCTGTACAAAAAGTGCAAAAAATAATAAATAATTTGATTGCACTAATTTTTTATATTAGTGTTAGGTAGTGCCATTGTAGGTAGTGCTATGGTGGGATGCCGAATGGGAGTGCTAATTTTTGCTTTAGGGGTGCTTAGCACCGCCAAGCACCCCCTTAGTTGCGCCTATGGCCCTAAAACCCGTTTTTTATAGCAAATTTCAGTTATTCCAAGAAAACTGTTTTAACTCCTTGTATCCTGAAAACTAGTCATAGGATCAAGTTGTGCCTATGGACACTTTCGATCAGAATGTTCAGAGTAGCATCATATCAATTTTTCAGAAAAATTGATCGAATTCCATAATCCCATAAGAAGTGTCCAGGGTCTTTTCATTTGGTTTCTCAGTTTTTGATTCAGCTACGTGACTACAGCTAATTGAATACGTATTCTGTAAATTGTAAAATATTGTTTTGTATTTTTGAAGCAGAAGATCATCAGATATAATCAAATCGACTCATAGTTTCTATTTCTCTAATAGGCTTCAAAAATGTTTCATTTTTAACTGTCAAACTTTTCCTGTTGAAACTTTTGTTTACAATACATTAGACATTCCACCAAGAAGAGGGCATTCATATTTTTTCTATTCCAGGCTCTTGAGATAGAAATAAAAATCTTGTCTCTATTTCTCTTCTCTTTAATTCCCATTTTCAACTATTTGAGACTCTCGAATTTCTGTTTCAATGCAAACTCCTTTTTATAGAGGAATCAAGGAACAGTCAAAAGCGTGGATAAAAATTTCTTTCCATGAAAGAATCAAGAAACAGTAAAATGTCTGGAATAGAGAAGAAAAATAATCAAAGGATCTCTCGCACACCTCTCATGAGATTTTGGGATTCCGTGAATTTTCCTGAAAATTTGATAATGCCAGGGCTTATTTTTGATACAGTTGGGCCCCAAGGCCCAAGCTAAAACTTCGGGCCCCAATATCCTATATATGATGGCGGGGGGTGTCACGAGTGGAAATTTTTTGAGTTTGAAATTTGATCCTATGACTAGTTTTCGAGATACAGGTAGTTTAATGTCCAAGGAATGCACACATTTCATATGCATTTACATCTACTTGTCATCCTCTATGCTGTCACCTGAGCGTGGAGATACCTGTCAATCTTAGTATATTATTAGGTGGAAGGTAGATGTTAATGCATATAAAATGTGTGCATTTCTTGGATATTAAACTACCTGTATTTCGAAAACTAGTCAGATTGTTGAGAGGAGCATCATAACAAATTTTCAGAACAATTGACCGAATCCCAAAATCCCATAAGAAGTGTGTGGGGTCCTTAAAATTCTTGGCCCTTTTTCTCTTCTCTTTAGTTCCAATTTTCAACTATTTCAGGTTCTTCTTTCCAACCAAATTCTTCGTCTTCAAAAGCCTGGAATAGTAAAAAATTGACATTAAAAGAAAAGAAATGAAGAGGAAAGCCTATGGACTTTATTTCGATAAATTCAAGAGCCGGTAATAAACAAAAATTGAGAAATAGAGACATTAAATATAAGAGGAATTGAGATAAAATTGGTAGGAAAATACCATCCTGGCACAAAATATAACTTCTAGTTAGGAACCAGTCAAACCAAGGTTGTTTATGGTATTTTCGTTTACATTTTATCGTTGAGGTGCAATTTTACAATAATTTGCTACTGATAAGCCAGTATAAAACGAATTTAAGATTGAAATTAAATTTGATGTAAAAGACAAAACTTCATATAAACCTTTTATATTATTTCATATTTTTTGGAGTGTCTATATGTACTATATTAACAATTAATTCTTCATCTAAATTAATGAACGTCTATATAGACACTCTTCAAAATTCCAATTCATAATATGTCATTTGTGTTGTGTATATCATTTCGAGCATTTTTGGCTAAGCATGATACATATAGCATCGATGGCAGCTACAAGAACTTCTCGCCCTTCAACCCCTAAAAGGTTGGTAGTAGTTGCGAACATAGTTTTTTAGGAACGTTGTGCTTGTTTTACAGCATGGCAGATCGGACTCGTACCGGGTCGCAACCATTCCTACCAGTTACGACGACAACAAAACCGCCGACGGTCAACCTAAGGTACAAATTTTATTTTTGGTATTGGTATTTGAATAGTAATCAAAACTGTATTTACAATATTTTGCATGCATCATAAAATTTAAAAGAAATGCATTCAAAATTCCTGCTGTATGTATTATAACCTAATACAGATTAATTAACACTTATAATGAGTCACGTAATACTTACTCATATTTATTTTAATCACTGTAAATTGTACATAAAATATAAACAATTATTATTATCGCAATATTTTTGAAGCATATATTTACTATCTTTGTAATAAAATATCAAGTTTAAATTTAAATTACCATAAATGGTAGGTATTTTACTAACCTGTGACTTATAGTGTGGGTTTTGATGTAATGTTTTTTTTTCTAGGCACGAAGAAAAGTGCAGCAGAAAAAGCCAAGAAAGGCAGGGGATTTGGACGACCTAAAACAAGAATTAGATATCGATTACCATAAGATTACGACAGAGGAACTGTATCAGAGATTCCAAACGCATCCAGAAAATGTAAGTAGACATTTTTGACACTAAAACTTAGGATTTTAGCAGAAAATTTTCATATGCTCAGATAAACTGCCACATTTTGCAGGTGAATATCTCAATTTTTTCTCACTCAGAAATGGAATTATGAATTTGTTCTCACTTGGATGCAAAAAAATCATGTAAAATTTGTATTAAATTAAATTTCCTTCAAATTCAACTGATCAAAAGTATTATTTAACGCAATAGTAATCGAGTACAGTGGTTCAAAGATACAACTTGTCAAAAATGTCTTTCCATCCGAAGATAATTCAAACCAAGCATGGGATAGACATCTTTCATCCTCGTCTCTTCGACGTACACTGACAGTCTATTGTGCCTCTGTATTATTATTATTTTTTTTTTGAAAAATAAACCTTTTTTAATTTTGACGTCATCCGTGCTGAACTCGCCTATCTAGTGACCATCCACCTTTCCTGGATACAAGAGAGCTATGCTCAACAGGTACAAGAGCTGTTGCTCCTGAAGTGTGAACTGCGACTTAGCTCGAATTATTGGTATTGTGAGACCCCATTTCAGAAACTTATATGATGTTGAATTGGCGAATGGCGGCTTTTGTTTCTGAGTGGAGACACAGATTGATATGGGTCCTATTTGCGGGTTTTTTTCTCAAAAATACCTTAATTCTATCATAAAAATTCCAATGGGTAAGTTTCGTAGCAAAGTTTGCCTTATCAAAAATAATGTTAAATTAGAAAGTTCAAATTTTTTTCAATTATCAATCACGAAAATCCCAATTCAAAATGTTATAAATAATTATGAATAACGAAATATGTTTCAATAAAAAAGTTCTTTTACAAAATTTAGCTTCAAATTTTCTTATTTTACCAACTATTAATCATGAAATATCATCTTAAAAATGTTTCAATTCCTTTTGGGATAATTATTTAACTTTCATAAAATCAATTCATTAACTTTTTGCCCTATTTTATAAAGAGTACAAATTTTCTTTCTTTACAGTGTAAATGTACTTACAAGATGTATTTATTACTTTAAAATTCTACTGGCACACACGTAATTACTGAAACGTTAATTTTACGACCCGAAATTTTCGCACTGCCTCCTTGAAACTTTTCGTACTATCTTCGACTTTGGATTCTGCTTGTTGCGTCTGACACTTGACTGACCGTTCTGACTGTTCTCGATTGACACTTTTGACCGTTCTTGACTGATACTTCTTCTGAGCCGACACTGCTATTTTTATCGCAATTCAGGCTTTTTATATAAAAATATTCTCCTTCCTTCCTTTGTTCTTTCGGCGGCCTAATTTCTCCCCCAATTTTATGAGTTCTTTGACATCAAGATTTCGTCATTTCGGCCCTCTTTAGTGGAATGCGGTACCGTTTCTTTGTCGGCATACAGCACGCGCTTGATTTATGGTGTTTTCCCGGAATTTTGGGTTCAGTGACAGATGGCGTTATGTTGGTAAAGTGCCGCATATCAGGGACAAATTTCAATTGAATCATCTATTTTTGTGTGGCCCTACTTATCGATCTTTGTAGAAGGGATTTCAGTTTCTGTTGTTTCCTTATTCGCTGGTCAAATCATTTTACTAGAAGTTCCGGCTGTAACTGGTTGAGTGTTGTGGTCTCCTGGGGTGTTTAATTTTCGGTAAGTTGTAATTGATTTTGATTTCATTTTTCCAGTTTGATTTATGTTTTGTTTGTTGTTTGTTTCATTTTTCAACAAAATAACCAGATCTGTTAACAATTATTTTATTCTTGGCGGTTTTTCTTGGTGGTTTATTTCTGCGTCACTACAGTATCATCTGTATGAAAATCTGTTTGGAAAAAGGGAATTTTCAATTGAATCGGAAAGATAAGGTTGTTTCTCTAACATCTGTTTCCTGTTGTGTGGAAATTAAAGACAAAAAGATCACAATAGACCCTCTCCTCACTCTCATTCAACCTTAGAAACTTCTTGAAATACGAGCTATCCCCCTTCCCGATGTCTCTCTTCACAGAGAGAGGTATGTACCTACAACGACACAAAGTCAATCAGGGGCGCCGGGTTTCAGAAAACCTCGTGGGTGCTGATGCTCATGCACTGGCATTTATGAGGGGGGGCGAACAGCCCGCCGGTGGCGAAAAAACTTCTCCAGAAGCCACGCCCAAAAACGTTTACCAGCATTCTTTAATTTACATTCGGACGAGTGTCTAAGAAGGGAATGGTAATATATTTCAAACAACGTAGATCACACCTTTCCATATTCGTTTTCCAGCTGCGGGAACTAGTGTTGCTTGGTGCTTATGTAAGTTTTTTGCGGTGTCTGCTAAAATTGGAAAAAAAGGACGGCTATAAGGGTAAAGAGTAGAGTGTTTTCACAGCTATCAGAACAATACCCACTTCTACCACGTAAAAGCCCCCCTCCAGCATAGCCATCATAGCCCACCATTAATCTATTTTCAAAAGGCGCCGCCGATCTAGAAATTTTCCCACGGTATCGAAAAACTTCCTAGGCTCAAGTGTCCCCAGCTATCAGACTAGCAGACTCACAAGCAAAATATTTATTATTGCAATAAAATTAATGCACCTGTTTATGACCAATACCCACCTCACAGCTATCAGAGCAATACCCACCTCCACTACGTCAAAAAGCTTCTACTCTGAGGAGGTACCTCTTTCCATAATCCTAAAAAATATTTCAACTATCCCTGCATTTGTATTCGTCAATAGTGTTCTAAACTCCATGAGATTAATTTTATTGCAATATTAACATTTTGCTTGTGAATCTGGTGGACCACTTCAAAGTAGAGGTGGGTATTGGTCTGATAGCCGGGGGCACTTGAGCCTGGGAAGTTTTTCGATACCGTGGAAAAATCTTTAGATTGGCGGGGCTTTTGATCTGAAATTTTGGGGATTTGACCCGGGCCAACCCCAAAATTGACGAATTCGAATACAAATGGAAGAATTGGTTAAATATTCTTTGGTTTTCAAGAATGTGAAGGGATATAATAAAGTGCCATCTCAGGGTAAGAGCCTTTTGAAAATAGATTAATGGAGGACTTTAAGGAATAGGGTTTACAGTGCAGGTGGGTAAAAAGTGCATCCTCAGGGTAGGAGCTTCACGGAAGGAGGTACAGTGGAGGTGGGTAAAGTCCGCCTTACGAGTCTAGCACTACGACATCTGAAGAGCAAGGGGACATAACGCCATTCATTTCGAGTTTTATGCTGCCTGTCATATTACTTTTTCCTTATAAATGTAGGTGTATAATATAAATAAATATTAAGGTATTTCTTATTGGAAGTCAAATAGGCAATATTGCAATTTTTTATCCGCATTCTTTCCATAGTGCTAGGCTCGTAAGGCGAACTTTAGTGGTATGATGGCTGTGCTGGAGGGGAGTTTTTAGAGGTAGAGGTGGGTATTGGTCTGATAGCTGTGAAAACACTCTACTGTAAAGTGTGGAAAACTCTCCTGCAGATATTCTTTTCCAAGCAGCATGTACCGAAAATCTGCGTTTTACGCTGTTTTTCATTAAAGATTTCTGATTTTCTTCATCTTCTTCTTCTTCTAAACAAAGTACCACCATGTTCTGATATCAACTGCCAGTACTGGATTTACTGTGCTGATTTTACTGTCATTTGCCGTTCCAATTTCAACAGGGTACCCTTGTAGTCATTCAGTACTGAATCGACTGAATCTAGTGTACCTACTGAAAATAATATCGGAACGGCGTCCAATAAATTCAGAACTGACAGAGTTAATATCGGAACATAACCTATGGTCCAAATATAACTAAACGTTAACCATTAGCTCTGTTCCAGCAGACATGAGAACCGTTCCAGAACCAATAATTTCCAGTTGCTCACCTATTTTTCAATAAGTTGAACGTCCTAATTGACAAATGGATTGATCGACTGGAAATTACCGTTCTAGAAAGGTTTTCATATCTGCTAGAACAGAGCTAAAGTAACCGAATTGGTTAACAGATGTTTACTGAAAATTCCGGTTACTTTGGGGAACGCAAATATGGAAATAAAACATAATTGACAGAAGTTACAGATAAAACCTTGATAAAACCAACAGAACCGACATCCGATGGCCGGTAACTATTTTGATATTTGGTTAACCCGATTTTAGGAACAAAATTAACCAGTTTTCCAGGAACTAGAGAGGATTATCAGTTTTTAAGTCTATGCTCGTGGGTGCTTCGCACCCACTGTTCAGGTCTCGTGGGTGCTCGAGCCCCCGAGCACCCACGTAGTCGGCGCCCCTGAAGTCAATGTTGTATGCGGCATTCATTCCTATACAAGAACCACTAGACTTCTGCAGCAGCAAATGCGCAGTTATTGATGGTGGGTACCTGCTACATAAAGTTGTGTGGAGCAAATCAACAGATACAACATTTGAATTGTGCCAGAATTACGTGGATTATGTTCAAAGACACTTCAGTGGTTTTTGATGGGTATCCTGTTGGCATAAGTTACCAAAACAGTAGAACGATATCGATGATCTTTGCTGAACTAATAGTCAAAGTTTGTGTTTCCAAAGTATAGGCCAAAACCTGCATTTCTATGCTATTTTTGATAAACTGAGAAATCACTTGAATTTTTGAACCACTATATCTTAGTAACTATAGGATTTTTACGCTATGTTTAGGATGACGTCACATTTAGTAAATTTCTGCTACCAACCTAACAAAACTAAAAGTACTCTTTCACGCATTTGAAGTAAGGGAATTCCAGATGCTTTTGGTTGGCAACGGCGCGCGACATTGCATGATTTGTATTAACATTTTCATTTCGTTATTTTTAGCTGTTGTCAGAATTATTGATACATGACATTTTGGTAGATTATAAGAAAAAAAATAGGCATTGGCAACATTGTCCGTCTTTGTTCGATGACTTCATCCTAGAAATAACATAAAAAACCTATATATTGGGTCAAATACTTTTGGCCAGTGAAATTTAAAGGAAATTTGAAGTTCTTCAGCTTTATTGAAAAGTTATTAGCAAAAAATTGGAAAAGTTCGATAATTTCGAGGTTTAAGCTGCAGTTAACGTGGAAAATAATTAGGTGCACAGTAGACATATAGGTATATCGTCTGTGGGTGCACGTGAAAGAGATGAAGATGAAATAGATTTATCCCATGTGTTGACGCAACATTATTTATAAATTTGGTTTCTTCTCATTCTTATTAAAGAATTACTTAAAGGGGGTGTGCGCCAAAAAAAACAACTTCATCTCAAAAAAAAAGAGAAAAAAAATCTAAGAATAACAGTGAAAACCGCACCCCTCTATGACAAATAATACCGAAGATATGGCTCTATGAAGGTACCGAATCTCACCCTATGACGTCACGAAAGCTCAAGCGACGCACGAGAAATTGAAGTAAATTGAATTTACATATGTTTTTACTGTGTCACCTGCAATAATCTAAACAAAAACCACTCACGCGTGCCAGGAATAATCAAATTAACAATGCGGTGCGCGGCTAAACGAAGCTCTCGTGACGTCACACACACTTTAAAGCGCTATATCTCAGCGATGGTTTATCGTAGAATAACGAGGTTTGAACAGTTATTCTTAGATTTTTTTACACTAAAACTTAAATTTTTGGCGCACACCCCCTTTAAATGTCAATATCGCGTAAAACACACAGGAGTGTATTTTCTACGACCCTGCGCCGACCGAGACAGCCGTTGAAGATTTGGATTTACACACACTATAAATAGATAAATGGTGCTTCATACGCACGTTGCAATTTCCGGTTCCGTGTTTTACGCTCAAAAAGTCTATGTCTTGTGTCGTTAAAAAGGGATCTTGAGTGCCTTAAGTCGATGGTGATACGTTGGTGGTTGTGGAGAACCGTTTTCCAGGGGGATCCCCGTATATACGCACAGCACAAAAAACCCAGGTGAGTGGTAATAACATTTGTGTATTTCGACGACTCTATGGTATCATTTTCATTTCTATTTCTATTTGTTTGCGCGATTTTCCAGTTGCAGTCCAGTTTACTAAATTTCAAATACTATTGCGTAAACACCATGCTTGGGTTTGAATTGTGGTCGGCCGGAAGAAATATTTGGCAACTTGAGAATTTTTTTATATCTTTGAACCACTGTATCTCGGTTACTATTGTGTTAAATAATACGTTTAACTAGTGAAATTTGAAGGAAAAATGTTTTTCAACTTTAAAATTAAGTGTATTTAGAATATAAGCTAATAACTGAAAAAGTCCGAAAATTTCGTAGTTTTTCGACTCCCCCCAAGCTAGTACAGGATCCTCGAGGTCAAAAACTCAGATTTTACTTCACAGAGTACCCACAAATGACATACCAAAAGATCATTAATTTCGGAATACTTTCCAGCAGAAAGTACTTGCCTGCTGGACTACTGCAAAATGTGTCAGTTTATATAAGGACACACTGTATTTTGATGCTCAACTAGCAAGACACTTATTTTTCATCCATAGCTTTATTTTATCTGGAAAAAATCCTCATAGAAACTTATGTCTCTATGACGAGATTATTCTGCAATTTCCTATGTTGAATGTATTCATTTGGTTTTAGGGTCTTAGTCATGCGAAAGCAAAAGAAAATTTGGAACGGGACGGGCCCAATGCACTCACTCCACCTAAAACGACACCGGAATGGGTCAAGTTCTGTAAAAATCTCTTCGGAGGTTTCGCCCTTTTACTATGGATCGGTGCGATCCTTTGCTTCATAGCCTACGGCATCCAAGCTAGTACTGTCGAAGAACCGGCAGACGACAATCTGTTTTTGGGTATTGTCTTGGCGGCCGTTGTAATCGTCACAGGTAATAATAATCCTCACCAAAATTTCATGTCATAACTTTTTTTGAAAAATTCTAGGTATATTTTCGTATTATCAAGAAAGTAAAAGCTCGAAAATTATGGAATCGTTCAAAAACATGGTGCCTCAATTCGCAACGGTACTTCGCGAAGGTGAAAAATTGACCCTCCGTGCCGAAGATTTGGTACTCGGCGACGTCGTAGAAGTGAAATTCGGCGATCGAATTCCGGCCGATATTAGAATTGTAGAATCGCGAGGCTTCAAAGTGGACAATTCGTCGCTTACGGGCGAATCCGAACCGCAAAGCCGAAGCCCCGAATTTACGCACGAAAATCCTTTAGAAACTAAAAATTTAGCATTTTTCTCAACTAATGCGGTCGAAGGTACTGCCAAAGGTGTCGTTATTAGTTGCGGCGACAATACTGTAATGGGACGTATCGCTGGTCTCGCTTCTGGCCTGGACACCGGCGAAACTCCCATCGCTAAAGAAATCCATCATTTCATCCATCTTATTACTGGTGTAGCTGTATTTTTAGGAGTTACTTTCTTTTTGATCGCTTTTATTCTCGGTTATCATTGGCTTGACGCTGTTATTTTCCTCATTGGTATTATTGTAGCCAATGTACCAGAAGGACTCCTTGCCACAGTAACTGTATGTTTGACTCTGACAGCCAAAAGAATGGCATCCAAAAATTGCCTAGTCAAAAATCTAGAAGCTGTAGAAACTTTAGGTTCCACCAGTACTATTTGCTCAGACAAAACTGGAACTTTAACCCAAAACCGTATGACTGTGGCGCACATGTGGTTCGATAATCAAATCATCGAAGCTGACACTACTGAAGATCAATCTGGAGTCCAATACGACAGAACCAGTCCAGGCTTTAAAGCACTTTCTCGCATCGCTACTTTGTGTAACCGAGCTGAATTCAAACCTGGCCAAGACAGTGTGCCTATTCTTAAACGAGAAGTGAACGGAGATGCTTCAGAAGCTGCTCTACTTAAATGTATGGAACTTGCCTTGGGCGATGTAATGTCAATCCGAAGAAAGAACAAAAAAGTTTGCGAAGTCCCCTTCAACTCTACCAACAAATATCAAGTATCTGTTCATGAAAACGAAGACCCCAATGACCCGAGACACATTTTAGTAATGAAGGGTGCCCCAGAACGTATTCTGGAACGGTGCAGCTCCATCTTCCTTTGCGGCAAGGAAAAAGTCTTAGATGAAGAAATGAAGGAAGCATTCAATAATGCTTATTTGGAACTGGGAGGTCTTGGCGAACGTGTACTAGGTTTTTGCGACATGATGTTGCCAACTGACAAATATCCCATTGGATACAAATTTAACAGTGATGATCCTAATTTTTCCTTGGACGGTCTCCGTTTTGTTGGTCTTATGTCCATGATTGATCCGCCTAGAGCTGCTGTACCAGATGCTGTCGCAAAATGCCGAAGCGCCGGTATCAAAGTCATTATGGTAACTGGAGATCATCCCATTACCGCTAAAGCTATTGCCAAATCAGTTGGAATTATTTCCGAAGGTAATGAAACTGTTGAAGATATCGCCCAAAGGCTTAACATTCCAGTGGCTGAAGTTAATCCGAGAGAAGCCAAGGCTGCTGTTGTTCACGGATCAGATTTGAGAGAATTGTCTTCTGATCAGTTGGATGAGATTTTGAGGTATCACACTGAAATTGTGTTTGCCAGGACTTCGCCTCAGCAGAAGCTTATTATTGTTGAAGGTTGCCAGAGAATGGGGGCTATTGTAGCTGTAACTGGTAAGAAATCACTTGCTTAAATAGTTCTGGATTAATTTTGTTTATTTAGGTGATGGTGTAAACGATTCTCCAGCTTTGAAAAAAGCTGATATTGGTGTGGCTATGGGTATCGCTGGATCGGACGTGTCTAAACAAGCTGCCGACATGATTTTGCTTGACGACAATTTTGCTTCCATTGTTACCGGAGTGGAGGAAGGGCGGTTGATCTTTGACAATTTGAAAAAGTCCATCGCTTATACTTTGACGTCGAACATTCCCGAAATTTCGCCTTTCCTTGCTTTTATCCTTTGCGACGTTCCCTTACCTTTAGGCACCGTCACTATCCTTTGCATTGATCTTGGAACTGACATGGTGAGTCATTGATTTTTATTACTAATTGAGATTAAAGAAGATTAAGTTGATTGGAATCTTCTTTGATTTCCCTTTTTTATTTATTTTATTTTAACTAGTCGTAATAATATGCCAATATTTTTTTTTTAATTAAATACAATGTTTTTGGTGTATTATTATGATTAGAGGCATCAGATTTCCCAAAAATTATGACACTATATTACGAATATTGTAAACAAGGTGCCGGCCATTTCGCTAGCTTACGAAAAAGCGGAATCGGACATAATGAAACGGCGTCCCCGAAATCCTTACGCCGATAAATTAGTAAACGAAAGGTACCTAAAAGCTAATCAAGAAAACCATTATTTTTTTATCTTAATTTAATTCAGCATGTAGAATTTTGAGAACAATAATGTTCCGCATAATTTGCACCTATATATCTTTGACTTTAGGCTCGGTTTTATTTTTTGCGACACTTATTTGACGATTATTTATTTGGTAGAATAGACATGATTTTTCAGTATCTAGTTAATGAGTCAGCAGGTACGTTGTCTAAACTAAAATTTTCTCTTTTCTATGCTGAATTTTTCTCTTCTCGTTACTGTTTATATTTTTTCTCTCAGCTTTAGATTATGCATTTTTAATAATTTTTCGACAATTTTTACTTTAAAACGTGACAAAAGTATCAAACTTCTAGGGTTCTTTATTATTATTATTTTTTTCAATTAGGTACCCGCTATTTCTTTGGCATATGAGGAAGCCGAATCCGATATTATGAAGAGACCGCCCAGAGATCCGAAAAACGATAAACTTGTCAATGCTAGGTCTAGTTTTTTTTTTTATTTTATTTTGTGTTGTTTTTGTTTAATAACCGTATGTTTTGTGGTGGGGGATTTACTAACGTTTAATTTTAAGTGATTTTTCGTGTGTATTTTACCAATTTTGAAAAATAAAATGCTTACTGTAAATAATAGGAAATATCACGTCGTACAGGATGGTCCACTTTTAATAGGTAATTTCAATTTCCGAGCGAAATATTGAAAAATGATCTCGCCACTCTGAGGCTCAAATTTAATGAAATTTTCATTGGTGCAAACGGCATTTTGATATCGTCAATCGAACCGCCTTTGGGTTCTCGATTTTCAGCAAAATACTTGAAAAATTTCATAATTTTTTTGATTGTGAAAATCATTAAAAATGACGTTCTCAGTTTTTTTTCTATTTGACCCCGATTTCGAAATAATGACCAAAGTTTTTTTTTAATAGAACACTCTATACATTAATAACTCATTAGGTAACTAGATAGCTCAGTTTTTGAGTAAAAATTACCTCTTTTTTTTAGACATAAGAAACCTCTCTCATTTTCCTTACAGGCATAAAGTATTTTTCTGATACAATGACAAAAACAGATTTTAATTTAATTCTCAGAAACTGTTGAATATCAACCTATCGAACTTTATCTCATTAAGGCCCGCTTTATTCATCTTTAGATAGACTTACTGGTAACTATCTGCAAGATAAATTTATCATTCTATTGATCAGTGGCCGACCAATGGGATTACAGATTGCATTTTTATTCCTTACATTGCGTACCTGACAGTTTATGAGATGGTGAATAAACCGGCCCTAAAATGAGTAAACATAGAGGTTTTCACTGAATTATTGATATACGGGGTGTTTGAAATACTAAGGGCCGCCACGAGGGCAGGTAAATTAGAAAAAAATTGCTATTCTCGAAGCATAATATTGAAAATATATTTTAGCGGTTGCCAAATTTCTGTTAGTTTACGTGATTTGTAACAAAATAGTTTTAGGTTTTTTTCACTAATTTTCCTGTATCTCGGAAACTACTTGTTATAGAAATTTGGCAACAACGAAAATATATTTTCAACAACCTTCGAAAATGGTACATTTTTTCTAATTCGACCGCCCTCGTATCTCTTACCTTTTCCGATATACATACCTACCAATGGTAGCCCATGGTATTTTAGACTTTTTATACAGGGTGTTCCACCGGAAACTAAATCGTTCTACAGTTTGTCCAAGTTCGCAACATAATATGAGAAACTTTTTTATTATCAATTTTACGAAAAAAAGTTATTCTTTATAAAAGTTTCTGCTTCTTGAAAAAATGGAATTAAACTATTAAAATTTGAAATAGCATCTACAGGGTGGTCAGAAAACAGAAAAAAATACAGGGTTTTTTGGTAAAAGTAGAAAAAAAATGGCACGTCACTATTTTTTTTTAAACTTTGATATTTTTTTCAGATTAAGCAAGTCAGATTACCTACAGTCAAAAGATACCTCTCGTTATCACAAGTAAACCTGCCAAATTAAAAAAAAAAAAATTGGAAAAGGGATTTTTGAGCTGAAAAAACGATTTTTTCTAAAACTTTGACACCCTGTACCTCAGAAACTACGCATTTCCGGACACGTTTAGGAGAACTTTTTTTTAAAAAAAATATTGTAAGGAATCACATCCTGAAGTTACATACTGTACTTAGAAAACACACTGTATAATTTTCCATTTTTTGACCACCCTGCACATGCTATTTCAAGTTTCAATACTTTAATATTATTTTTTCAAGAAGCATAAACTTTTATGAAGAATAACTTTTTTTCGTAAAATTGATAATAAAAAAGTTTCCCATGTGCTGCGAACTTAAGTGGACACACTGCATATATAAAAATTTGTATGCAGAAATATTTTGCCTATTTTGAATGAGACACCCTGTATGTGATTTCATATTTGGCTTTTACGTGAAATTTTGCTCAGATTTCATGTGATTTACCCTATACCTAAGTTCTTATGTTTTGGAAATATTGACAGTTTAAAATTGACTTTTTTGCAACTTTGACAGGCTGTAAAGCTTCATAAAATATCATTTGACATCACATCTATTTTGAATTTAATCAGAGGTTAAATTTAATTGGAATTTTCACTCATGGATTAAATTCAAAATTGGTGTCAAAATGATAGTTTATGAAAATCTAAGAATATAAGATCGATTTTCCTCTAGAATCCAAATATGCAATCACATACTGGGTGTCTCATTCAAAATAAGCAAGTTGACGTCTACCTCCGGTATAACCAGAAGGGCCAACATCTTGAAAATATTTTTGCCGGTTTGCCCTTATTGACATTAGTATACCGTCTAATTTTTAAAAATTTTGTAAATAAAATTTCCCATACATAGATCTATTTGGTTGCTGGTGAAACACCCTGTATAGAGTGTCCTATTGGAAAAAATTGGACTTTAATCAATGTCTCTAGATCTGAGAATTTCATTGGGCTCAAAATTGAGAAACGTCTTCTAGCGGCAAAATGGTTGAAAATATCAAAATGCGGTTTACACCAATCAAAATTTCATGAAATTTGAGCCTTAGAGTGCGGAGTCCATTTTTCTGTATTTTGCTCAGAAATTGACGTTGCCTATCAATAGTTTCCAAATTGAACCACCCTGATTATTTCGTGGATTTTGACAGCATATAGCTTGCTTTTGAAGCAAGATAGAAAGAGAAAGTAGATACAATGTCAATAGGGATTTACGAGAACCACTAGAAAATATAAATTTTGTATACATATATAGGGTGTACACAAAAGATGTGGCAGACACAACTTTACTGAGAAATAATTGAGAATTTCATGGATAATTTTTATTTGAAGAGAAATCAGTGTCTGCCAAAATAGGCAGGTCAAATTCCGTACAAACGCCACAGCCACCAAAGTGTGAAGTGTGGTACATTGAAAAATGCCTCTTAGTATGTATGTAGTACATGTAAAATTGATGACGATTTCATTGGAACGAAACGTTGGATTTCAAATTTAATACCGCCATCTTGTAGAGAAGAAAAAGTGACAATGGGAATGTGAAATTAGATTTTCAAAATCTTTTTAAATGGAACCAGGAAAAAATTTAAGAAAAACGAGAATTTCATGTTTTTTTCGTATAGTTTCCATTTTTTCCTGATTTTATTTTAAAAGATTGTGAAAAACTAATTTTACATTCCCATTGTCACTTTTTCTTCTCTACAAGATGGCGGTATTAAATTTAAAATCCAACGTTTCGTTCCTCTAGAATCATCATCAATATATTTTTTTTTAATACGGACCTTTTTTTTTACTGTGTTATACAGGGTGTCCCACGGTGGATGGCGTATTAGACGTTTATGGAGAACTAAAAAGCGGATCATTTCGAAAATTTGGTAACCGGGGTAAACAGCCATGATCTACACTTTAAAAATATTTTTGTTTATGCGGTGTTGCCGCTTCTACTCTAAACCAGCGGCAACAACGCTATTTTAAATGGAATACCCTGTATGTGATTACATATTTTGATTCTACGTAAAATTCTGAGCAGATTTCATGTGATATACCCTATACCTAAGTTCAACTGTTTTGGAATTATTGACAGTTGAAAATTGACTTTTTGCAACTTTGACAGGCTGTAAAACCTGAACGGTTAATTTAAGAGAAAAATCAATTTCACATTCCTATCTTACATTTTCATGAACTATCATTTGACACCAACTTTGAATTTACCCGGAGATTAAATTTAATTGGAATTTTTAATCATGGATTAAATTTGAAGTTGGTATCAAATGATAGTTTATAAAAATCTAAGATAGGAATGTAAAATCGGTTTTTCTCTAAAATTAACCGTTCAGGTTTTACAACAGCCTGTCAAATTTGCAAAAAGTCGATTTTCAACTGTCAATAATTCCAAAACAGTTGAACTTAGGTATAGGGTATATCACATGAATTCTGCTCAGAATTTTACGTAAAATCCAAATATGTAATCAGATACAGGGTGTTCCATTTAAAATAGCGCTGTTGCCACTGGTTTAGGGTAGAAGCGGCAACACCGCATAAACAAAAATATTTTTAAAGTGTAGATTATGGTCGTTTATCCCGGTTGCCAAATTTTCAAAATGATCCGCTTTTTAGTTCTCCATAAACGTCTAATACGCCATCCACCGTGGGACACCCTGTATAGTGTTATTGAAAAATTAAAAACAGTATTGGTTTTAGGATGCCCAAAGATAACAAAATCGCAAATAAAAAATCCAGGTCCGTATTTAAAAAAAGGAAGTTGAGGATGGCCGGCTGAATTCGAAACGTCGAATTTTAAATTTAGTAGCACCATCTTCTAGAGGGCAAAAAGTGACAATGATGAAGTAACATTTATTTTAAAATTGCTTTTCAAATAAGCCCAGGAAAAAATAAAAACGATTTTACAAAATTTCGGATTTTTCCGTATATCTCCGAAAGTATTCGGAATCTTTCTAGTTTCAAAACGGCATTCTATTGGTCATAAAATTGCGCAACTTTGTCATAATTTAACCGACCCCGTATCTCTTACGGTTGCCGAGATCCCAATGATGAGGCTCGAATTTGGGCCACCCTGTACATGGGGATTTTGGAAACCATAGAAGATACAGGGTGGACCAAATGAAGAAAAAGTTGCGTAATCAAATGCCTACAAATAATCTGTCATAAACTCTTTGAATGGGTTTCGTGCGGCATGTGATCACATTTGAGGTAACATAACCTAAAAATTAGTGTATTTTTGATATTTCACCGTCTAGTTTTCCTAATCCTTTGGAAAATTGTTTCTAATTGAAATATAATTCACTTCCTAGGATAGTATTTGTAGACTAGGGTCAAAATACCCTTGATTTCAAGTTATTCCGGGCACTCTGTATGTATCATATTCAGGCCTATGATTTCATCATTTTTTGTTATTTTAACAACAACTTCAGGTTGGCTGTCACTGTTTATTTTGTACGTTGAAATAGAGAAAGACATAGATGTTGAGCTATA